TTGTGTGTGTGTGTGTAAGAGTATGTGCCGAGATTTCAATTCTTGAACTGGTACTATATGCGTGTGTAGCAAGCTAACTAACCTCGCTACTTTGTGCACCTACACCCACCCGCAGCTATACAACGCGCCTCCTCCGGTACGCGAGGGTCTGCATGTGCTGCAGAGTCGACTGTATATGTCCAGAGCTCAACGACAGATGCATGACGAACTCGGATCGCCACACCAGGCACGCGAACAGTCAACGCGATCCGCGTATGCACACACACACGCACACACACAGGGCATGGGGGTGGGTACGAGCACAGAACCATCGACACACAAAGCAGCACAGAGCAGGGGGACACACAGGCGTGCACACGCACAGATACACATACAGCCACCGAATGCCAATATGAGGCAGGAACCGGTGGAGCACAGCGCCAACGTGGACCGCAATATACAGACGATCATCGACCGGACTGCCGCAGACGGTGGTGCGATGACGAAGAACTGTGGGTGTGCATGCGAGAGGTCTGAAGGTCAGAGTAGGGTCAATGGGACTGGGCACGGGCGTATGGAGGACGGTGTCAGCCTGGAGACGGACAATGGAGATAGGGGGCCGGAGGTGCGCAGGAGGCTGTTGAGCGGTAGGACGTACACGGATGTGATCTACGAGCAGATACACACCAGCATGCAGCCCTTTACAATACTGCTGCTGAAGGTGGGTTCAGTAGTTGGTATGGAGGTGGACCTTCTTGTATCGATTCAGTGCCTGTCAAGCAAAACTGTGCCACGCCTCTACGGGTACAGGGCGAGATTAAGTTGTGCGGATAGTAGTACATGAATATATCTGAAGGCAACAGGTTCGTTTGTAAATGTGTTGTTAGTGGGCCTTCCATAACTTTGGGCAAATACTAATTCTTAACAAGTTAAGTCCTACACATCTTTATGAATATCAGACCGCTCCGTTCCGTTTCAGTCTGCCAAGATAAACGCTGCATGCTGCCCTTTGTATACATTGTTTATGTGTCTGTCCATAGTGATATGTCAGTATCGTATGCGTATCGCCACGAGCGGTTTGCTACCAACAGCTACTTATAAATCACCTGCATCCCAATGTTCATTGTGAAGTTGTGCATGACATGAGTCCAATTCCATCGCTATTTGTGCATAGACTGATACAAATCGTGCATACACTTCGTCGTTTTGCGGACTATGCATACAGGTGGTTCTCGCAGCCACCGCAAGTTATTCGAAGCTTCCTGGTTCGATCAAAATCCTGAATGAATTTTTGGAGCACCGAAAATTAGGATTTGGCCACAATCTGCCCGCGGAGGCACTTGATGCACTGCACCAGTCCGAAGAGGTGGTTCAATTCAAGGAAGATGTACTGTTTTCGGCGACAAGTGTGCTTTTTCTACTATCTAGGTGGCTCAAAGCTTCGCGTATGTCCCGAGTATTTATATGTAGATATCAATA